CGGTGTGCCTGGACCCGAAAATGTGGAATACAGTGAAACGGTGAGAATGCTCTTCAGAATTTGGACACTATTCTGATGAACAGCCCAAGTTTGGCGCAACGGATGGTCTAAATCCGTGCAACAGCTTGACTTTGCCCTTGTTGCTAAATCGTGGGCGGAGAAAAGTGAAAGGGTGGGGTTATGTAAATTTGCATCTTGTCAAAACACGGCAAAATTCAGAAATGGCTCGCTCGAAGACACAAATTCTGAAATACGCGGATAAAAGAATCACTGTTGTTTCATTTCCATACATAAATGGGTTGGCAGGCACTCCGGAAAAAAAGTGCCGGCAAGCAATTAAAAAGTCAATTCTACATAACAGGTCATATTTAATATTCAGCTCTATTTTGTGGGTTAAAACTAACAGGTAGAGCAACCAGGAGGGAGGGAAAAAAAACAAAAAAACGGAGAGCCAAGCTATTCATACTCACACAGAAATTGTCCGTTTTCCGAGGTGCGTTCTCGAATTAGCACCACAGGTGTCTTCGAACGTCACCTGGCCTATTTTAAGGGGCGACACGTCGTCGCTGTGCCGTTTGGTGACGCGGCGCGAACGTACCACAGCGATCACGGACCAGAGGAAGCAAAATGAGAGTTGTCTCGGGAGATTAGAAAGACGATTCTAAACAAGCGGTAAAGGCTTGTCAGACTGTCTCCAGGAAGGCACCAAAATTTTGTCTGCGTGTTGAACCGTCATGAAAATGTAAAAAGATATTCCAAAGGGACATGTACAGTGAAACTCCTCTACAACGAAACCTACATGGGTGAAAATACCCCCTCGTGTGAAAAAAAATCATGCATTAAAATCAAATTTGCTACAGCGAAAAAACCCGTTGTGAAAAATTTCTTGCTGCAAATATGATTTCGTTGTAGAGGAGTTTCACTGTATTCTCAAACCAGTAGGTACTTCAGTACTTACATCTCAAACCTTGGTTTTAGTGCTTGCCAAAGCCTGCTCAAGCGGCGCTTTTCAAACTTTCAGCGCCTTAGTGGTTTTGCGTCGAGACTGGGATGCTCGACGGCTTATCTAAATGAGGGATAGTGGACGTGTGACATAATCACGTTGGAAAGGACGCAAGCCGCGTGCCAGGAACATTGCTCCTTGTAACTCCTGTGTGTTGCATTAGTGATGATTTAGCAGGAAGGCTCCTCGGGGCCCCCGGATTTGCTTCTCCTGAGACGTGGCCAAGTCCGGAAAAACCTGCCCCCCCCTCCAAAAAAATAAAAAATAAACAGGCCAGGGTGCACACAAATAAACAAAGACAAAACGCTTCACAGGCTGGTTGTTAATAGCTGTTGTTCATAACCTTCCGCTCACAAAAACCCACCTCCTTTTCAGTTCCGCAAAAAATAAATATAGGTCATTCCAGGACTAAAAATGGCTCTCTGGGCCCGAGGCTTGCCAGAGCATGAAATAGACTTTACAGCACGTCCACCAAGAAACTTTTGCTTTTTTTTTTTTTTTTTTTGGTTGTTGTTGCCCATTTTTCATCCCGCCGCGTCGCTGTAATCTGAACATATGGCGTCCGCATCCGCCCCCGCGAACCGCACTCGCACCAGCCCGCCTCCGTTTTACCTTTTCGAATAAGATATCAGCAGTTTGCCAGGTTCTGGAATATGACAGGCGAGACGCGCGCGTCCAGATAACACGTTTTGCGGAACACTCCGACAATGATACCCACCTCTGCCTTTCACACTTGTCCCGCGCTGATAAGCACCAAGTCGGGGGCGTGGATTTCAAAAATACGGCCTTGAAGAGCAGCATCGATTCGGAGTAATTATTACGTGCTTGTACAAACTCTGCAAGATGACCTTTGACGACGGCAGGCAATTAAACATTTATGTACTATACGGGGCGGCCCGGTGGGCGACTGGTTAGCGAAGGGTTCGTGAACTTATGGCTCTAACCGTTAGCGCGTCGGCCTCACGGGGCAGAGGTGCAGGGTTCGATTCCAGCTGCGGCCATCCTCTGTGTGCCGTTCGCATGTTCTCCCCGCGCCTGCGCGGGTTTTCTCCGGGTGCTCCGGTTTCCTCCCACATTCCAAAAACATGAGCGGCATATTAAGAGAACACTCTAAATTGTCCCTAAGTGTGAGTGTGAGCGCGGATGGTTGTTCGTCTGTGTGCCGTGTGATTGGCTTGCAACCGGTTCAGGATGTCCCCCGCCTACTGCCCCAAGACAGCTGGGATAGGCTGTAGCATGCCCCGCGACCCTTGTGAGGATAAGCTGATCAGAAAATGGCAAAAAAATAGATTAAAAAAATGGATGTACTATACGGTGGTGGGATGTAACAAAGTACTCTGTAACCTACGCTCCTTTACTTGAGTATTTTCTGGACTTTTTACTTTTACTCCCTATTTTTGAAAACCTCTGGCAGCATTCAGAGGATTTGAATTATTTTTTTCACCTTGAGTATTTTCTGGACTTTTTACTTTTACTCCCTATATTTGAAAACCTCTGGCAGCATTCAGAGGATTTAAATTATTTTTTTAACCTTTTTTTTTCTTTTTTTTTAAACCAAACATGGCATCATTTAAGTTGGTGTCGGAGTTTATATTATTCTACATAAGAAGCATTTGAGTACTTTTGTCACAAAAATGAATCAGACACATTCCCACCAATCCCATGAATGCAACTCAGCACTTTTTTTTTTTTTGGATCAAATCCCCAGTGTGGTGATGTTAAAACACATATTTGACGCAAAGTCAAACACAACCAAACCATGTTTGAGATGTACAAACAAGGAGATTGTTATCGCCTCGAGTTTGGGAATTCGAGCTTGCGTTGCGAAATACGCGTTGCCATCTGTTGAAACCTTTTTACACAACATCTAAAACGGCTTCAAGTGAACACACAAGATGACGCTCTCGAAAAAGAGAAACAAGAGGCAGGAGTGACTCACGAGCACAATTCCGGGTAAAGAAACGGCAGCGTCGCACTGATTTGTCTCAAAAGCAAGAAGGGTGTACCTAAAGCTTGGGGTTAAAAAAAAAAAAAAAAAATTCATCCAAGAGTCATTCAAAACTGAATCGTACAAAAACGTGGCATACTCGAACCGATGTTGTGGAACGCTTACAAAAATAAAGAATTACGGGAAGAGGATTTGACAGTTTTACATGACTGTGTCCTTTAGAATTTGTTTTAACTTTACAAGAGGGAAAAAAAAAATGGCAAAAAAATTGCCTATTTTTGGGGGGGTGGGGCTAAGGGTAACGATTATATCACCGCACTAATATTTTGTCCCGCCCTTTGTGCTAATATCGACCAAACCTGCAGCTAAAACTGTGTCAACAGGGACATTTTCGCAGCTCTATTTGCTTTCCACACACTCAGCAAACTCTCAAATAATTTTTTTTTTTTTTTCATCTTTCCAAGCATTCTCGCCTCCCCAAGTCTTAATGTGTAAAAACTATCATGACCGCGTCTGAAAATGGCCTCATGTTTATTTTAACCTCAAGGGCAGCGGCGGGGGGGTGCGCGTCTGTGGTGTTTTCTTACATCCAGCCAGCCGAGCCTGGAGCCATTCATCAGGCCAGTCCAGGATTTTAAAGACTTCAGGGGCTGCAGTGGGGGGGGTTTGGTGGGAACGGCGCTCACCACACAGGGTGTGACGTCATGCAAAGTACCGCAAAACCAAAGGGTGTGTCCAATAGAGGAAATTACAGGACGGGAAGGGGGAAAAAAAAAAGTGTCCTTTTCTTTCCGTGAGAAATAAGTTGAAACATCAAAGACCACACAATGACTGATAGCTTTGATTTGAAAAAGTCTACACACCCTTGTTCAAAGGCCAGCCTTTGAGAGGCTCAGGGAAAAAAAAATAAATGAGAATGCGGTTGCACGCCTGTCCGCGCCCTCGTATGAGCGAGGCCGTTTGCTGTGGTCAGAATCGAATGATAATTATAGTCATGTAAAATGGGAGTGAGCGCACATTTGCTATCGCTTAACAGTGCCACTGATCAACCTCAAATGAAGTTCAGATGTTCTAGTCGGCTTTTCCAGACTTTTTTTTTTTTTTTGCCTTCCGTCAAGACACCGAAAGCTTATGTGATTTTGCGATTTCAAACTGCTAATAATTCCCGCCAACTTGGAGGGAAAGTCAAATAGATTTGAAAAAAAATATGTGATGGTCCCAACAAAACCGAGGTTTGATGGCCAAGTTGTGTTTTTTTAAATTTGATCCGATGTTAGCGCTTAGTATTCAGGCCTGGAAAGCCAAAAATAGGAAAAGCCTTGGAAAACATCTTAACTTTAATTGGGGTGCAATTTAATAAGCGGCAGGTTTGCATTTACTCAAATTTAACAGAAGTCTTTGCATTCATTGTTTTACGGCCGGCCGAGTTTTAGATTTCTTATGTTCAAACATTTTTTTTGAGTGAGAGTCACATTTAGTCTGAACACAATATACAACTGAGCTGAATGACGAACAGGCACATCTCCAGTTATTAAAGGGTGTGCACACTTGTGCAACTACTATGGAACCAAAAAATATATATATTTTAAATCTTTTTTTTTCCATTGAGTACAAGTCTTACGTCGCATTAATGGTGGAAAATGTGAAACGGCTCATCAAAGAGTCTTTTTTGAATGTCACCAAAAAAAAAATACTTTTTTTAACAGGGGTGTGTAGACTTTCTATATCCGCTGTACACTTTTCGGGTTTGCGCTGTGAAAAATAAAATTAAATAAAATAGGCATTCACAGGGTTCCCGATTCGCTATTAAAACACTCCACGCAGTCTGGCTCAAAAAACGGTCTTGTGTGTAAACAACAGGCGGATCTCGGCCAAAAGGAGCCCAAGATGTGAAAGATCAAAAACAGGAGGAGGAGGAAGGAATTCCAGCCAACATCGGATGCTGTGGAGCCAATTTTAGCATGAAGCACGGGGGCCAGAATGCTCCGACTGGAACGTGGTGTCAAAATAACTCTCAGGACAGACTGAAGAAGAGCGCAAACACAGGTGTATCGTTGTCTATATAGATATAGATATCTTCTTTTATTTCAATAATTAAACCCACTAAAAGTTGTTCAGTACAACTTTTCAATGAAAGGCACAGGAACAATCAGACAAGGCTGATAGAATATTACTCCAAAGGAAATGGGACAGTACAAAAGTCGACAGTTAAGTCACGCACGTACAAACTCCTCAAATGGGGCGGGGGGGGAAAAAGTCACTTGGACGTGATGACGGGAAACGGATCGGAACACAACAAAGAGGCCATTTTCCAAAAAGCCATTAGCCAAACTATTCGTACGTTTTTTTTTTTTAATCCCCTTTTGTATTGCTTTTCCCCACACACGTTCACGGGTGACCGCGCTACGCGACACTGCGCAGCGCACATCCGATTGGCGAAATCGCGAGGAATGAGAAACGAGGCAGATCGGGCGACAACGTGGACCAAAATATCAAAAGTCTTAACGAGAAATTTTTTGCTGACAGTGAACGGTAAAGTGTCCCAACGGTGTCAGTGAAGATGGCAAAACAAAACAAAACAAAAAAAAAACTTAAAGATGCCGACAGGGATACTGCACAGGACTCCAGACTTGGGACGACCTCCGAAGGTGTTGCTGTTTTGGTTAGCAGCTGGCTTTTTACATGGGACGAATCGAGTCGACGGACTGAAGTATGAACTCATTCACTCCCAAAGACGTTTTGAAACGTCTTTTCAGACTTGGTCCAGAATTGGCTGGTACTGACTGAGTTAATGGCGACTATTTGCGCAAATGGTCAAACAAAAACGTTCCTTGGATGATAACAAGCGTGTGAAGACGCCGTCGCTTGGCGCTGTTTCCTCGTTTACCTTCGGCCTCTTTGGTACGTCGGCTTAAATCGTCACAGAAGTGCGCGCTTGTCTTTTCCTACGTGGGTAACCTGTTCTTCTCGCTGGTTCCTATGAACAAAAGGTGGTTCGTGGGAGGGGAAAAAAAAAAAAAAGAAGATTGCCACCACAACAATAAAAGACCCTGAAAATGACGCGACTGATTGGAGCAGATTCCCGAATCATCCGAACTGTCACGGGGAGGGGGGGCTGCCCTCCTCAATTCCACCCGACAGCCGTGAGAGTCACGCTACCTCCGTATTCTCCCCCCGCGGCATGCTACTGAGGCAAAAAATAAAACGGAATCAAGATCAGCGGTGCGGCAAAAAAAGTAAATGCGCACATCCATTTAAATCTCGCCATGAAAAAAAAAAAAAAAGAAAGGATAGATCCCGCGGGCAAACTTTCATAGGTGTTCGATTCAATGTTGTCATGAAACGCGATGATGAAATGAGGCAGCAAGACGAGGGATGCGCGTGTTCGCGTGGTGGTGGTTGGGGGAGGAGGGGAGAGGGGGTGGCGGGGGGTGGCGGGGTCAGCGCCGCTCGGTCGCACGCGTTGCGTTAGCCTGCGAGCAAAAATGTCGCTCAGAGCCCGCCCCCTTTCCTTTCATATGGCGCAACCATCCGAGGAGGTTGCTCCTCATTCCTATCCTGACACTCCCGGCAGATGCCCGTTCGCGGCCGACTCCTCAAAAGTCAAGTCAGTCCATAAAACCGAAGGGGTCTTCTTCCTAAGGCAGGAATTCGGGACCTGCCCCCTGTGCAAAAAGGGGAGCTAATGACATCAAGGATCTCATGAGTTCGGAGCCGTTCAGAGCGCTCAGGATCCAGTCCTTCCAAGCATCGGGCTGACGCCAAACTCCGTCGATTACCTGGCGGGCGAGGAGGCAGCCGACAGCCGCGTGAGGTACTCGCGCAGTTCTTTCGCCGCCTGGAAGCGGCCGTAGCGCTTCTTGGGCTTGGTGCACTCGTCCAGCAGGGCCTCCAGCTGGCCATCTTTGGCGATGTGGGCGGGCGGATGGTGGAGGAGGCCCCCGGTGGTGCCCCGCCACGTGGCGTAGCGGGACAGCAGGTTCTGACACACGGCGTAGTAGTTGTGGTCCACGGTCACCCGGGAGCAGAGGGAGTCCTTGGAGAATGACAGGCAGGCCTCCCGGTCGCACTCCTCAAAGCGGCTCTCGTACCACACGTCGTAGTTTTCGGGCTTGTCTGCAGGGAGGAGAGGGGCGGGGGGGGGGGGGGGGGGGGGGGGGGGCAAAGACATGTTGCTATGACAACACAATTCCTTGCAGTGGGCAGGAGGTTATTTTCCGGCCGGCAAATTTTGATGCCTGCTATTTTGTTAGACTGTATAAACTCACCATTCAAAAATAAATACAATTCAAAAATATTTTTAAAATGTAAGAAAATAAATAAAAACATGAAAAATATTTTTAAAATTTTTAAAATGTAAGAAAATAAATAAAAACATGAAAAATATTTTTAAAATGTAAGAAAATAAAATAAACAAAAATATTTTTAAAAAGTAAGAAAATAAATAAAAATAAATATCAAAAATATTTTTAAAATGTAAGAAAATAAAATAAAAATCAAAAAAATTAAAAATGTAAGAAAATAAATAAAAATAAACATCAAAAATATTTTTAAAATGTAAGAAAATAAAATAAAAATCAAAAAAATTAAAAATGTAAGAAAATAAATAAAAATAAACATCAAAAATATTTTTAAAATGTAAGAAAATAAAATAAAAATCAAAAATATTTTTAAAATGTAAAAAAAAAATTAAAAGAAAATCTATAATCCTGCTCGTCATATGTAACACTAACAACTACAGACAAAACACAATCGCAATTCCGGTTTAAACCAAAAAATTCCTGTTTCGCTACCCAGGTATCCAGTTTAAATGTTGGGTCCGACGGTTGTTCTGTGAGGTCAAACCAAGTTGAGTCCGGATCTGATCCAGGATGCATATTTGTGCAGCTAACGAATGGAAGACGAATCCAATTAGCACACCCCAGAAGCCGCGATGTCGATAGGCTTCACCTGAATGTGATGCGAGATTTGGTTGCAGTTCAGCTCCAACGTGGACAATCCCATTTCACATTTTCACAAATATCTCAAATCTTACGTGCATACAGCAGGACCAAGTTTGGAAAGTGCCGCGGGGCTGGAGGAGTCTGAAGGTGAAACGTAAGCTTCTCAGAAACTTCATCCCAGTCAAATTTCTTCAGCACAGATTGTCCTTACATGGGATGACTTTTTCTTTTTTAACTATGCGGACTGCCGTGTACAAACGGGAATATATTCATCTGATCAAGTACAAAGCATCTTTCAAAATTGAGGATGCAAATTTTTAAAAAATGGAGCTGTGGGGGGTGGGGTGCAAGCTCTCCAGACTCCAAAGAGACAAACCAGGAACTAGATTTCATCCCACACGGGCAAACAACTCATCAAACCTTTTCATTTGGCACAAACGCAACACACGCTCAAGATTGATCAAGCAAATCAACATTCTGATTTTTTTTTGGAGGGGGGGGGGGGCTCCGAGAAAATAAGCAGGAAGGGTCGCGGGGGTGGGAGTCGGGAGTACCCACCAGAGGATGCAAAAACTTACTCGGGGCTTCGGTGTTAATGCACTTCTGCTCCGGCTCATCGCGGCAACTCAATGAAACCATCGAGTGCTGCCCTGCAAGGAAATGAGTCCACGCGTGCACCCTTTCCTCCCGCAAAATAGGAGGAGGGGGGGGGGGTGTGGGGGGCATCAACATCCATCAGCGAGCTTTGATTAAGATGGATCGCCTCGCATGCGAGGGTGACAGACACACAATCCGCACGGTCACTCACACACACACACAAATAAAAATGTGCGCTCAAGCACCCAAGTGAGGTGACATCAATTTAATGTTTCCGCAACAGCTCCTCGCCGCTGATTGACGGACGGCATCAAGGCAACGTACCACTCCTCTTCGCCCTACGTACTCGCATACAATTAAAGCCAAAGGACGTATTGTATAAAAAGACGACAAAAAGGTGCGTCAGGATGAAACTGAGCTCAGAGCACATACATACACACACACATACAAAGAAAAATAAAAATGGGGGCTGGATCTCATAAGAGAACGCAAAAGAAAGCCCATCATTTGCTTTTGTTCGGCTAAGATGGCAGGGCTCAGAGGGTGACGAAAACGTACAGTTCCAAAAAGCGGAGAAAAATAATTTGGTGTCAAAATGGATGGGAGAACATGCGAGGTTTGCATGGTCGGTCGCGTCGTCGCTCTTATTTTATTTTATTGATTGTCTTGTCACTGGGGAGGTGAGCTTCATAAGAGGAAACATTTGTACCTTCGATGATCCGGGGGGGGGGGACACCTTCCAGTTAGTTTGGGCTACATTAACCCTTTGAGGGACAGCGGTTACTCCTCCAGTGGACCATTTATCATGTTATCAGGTTACAGAGTGCATGAAACGGTCAAGATAGATTCTACTTTTGGAGGGCTAGAAATGGATTCCTCTTCCAGGTTCCAAACTCAGCCAGTTCCATTATTTCCACCATCTGCAAGCACCTCGAGTCCGTTACTCAAGATCACGTCAAGACATGCCGCAAATGGACTCCGTGATTTTTATTACCGTATTTTCCGCATTGTAAGGCAGAACTAAAAGCTTTCAATTTTCCCAAAAGCCGACAGTGAGCCCGTATATAAAGAAAGCTGTATTGTATTGTATCCCCCTTAGCGTAGCTCCATCTAGTGGATGTGTAGCGCAACCGCAGCCATTATTGTCTATGCACCTTATAACGTAGTGCGCCCTACATATGAAAACCGTTTTAAAATAGGCCATTCATTGAAGGTGCGCCTTATAATCCGACGCGCCTTAATAGTGCAGAAAATACGGTACATTTATTTTGAAGCATGTTGCTATTAGTATCAAGAACCTAATCATAAAATTCAGACGTATGGGGGTGGTGAGTTGGAAACAAGGACCCCGACAGAGGCTACGCAAGGAACCCGCGCACTGTATGGGGACATGCTAACTCCACACAATTGGAACCCACAACCGCTGGACTGTGAGGCGGACGCGCTAAGCACTCTAGCAACAAGATCGTCAGAATACCTTCACGTCAAAATTTAACAAAGAAAAAATAACTGGTCAATGCCTAGATACAAATAGGCCGATACTCTCATTTAAAAAAAAACAAAACATTTTTGGACTCGCTAGTGTGGCTGCACATGAAGTTGCTCATTAGCCTTTGGACTCAAGTCTCCAAAGCCTCATGAGGTGAAACGCAGGTTTGATTTGCAAATCAATTGGCCTCACTTTAAACAGATGAACTCAATCACACTTTTGACGTCGGACATCTTGCGTGTTGCTTTGAGCGAATGTCCTACCACCTCCCGCTCGACATGCGCCAGCGAACTCTTGAAACTGATCACCGCCGGCGTCGCTTGCGAAGGCTTCCTCCATGCTGAGCCCCGACACTTGCCGCACGCAAACCGACACAATGGACGGCCCCCATAAACACTCTGGACGCGCTGGCCCCGCCGGGGGTAAGCAGCTTTTGAGTTGTCAGGCTCTCAGTATCTGCCAGACAGAGAGCGTCAAGAGGCAGGATTGCATTTTAAGGCGAGTAGAAGACAGCGTGACAACACGGGGAACTTTCAGCTACTGGCTATGAAACAAATACACGAACAACGGGGGCGAATGTGGTGGTTCAAAGTGATCATCAGGACCAATTCGTCTTTTTATCTGTAAAGGTATATAGAATAAAAGTGCCCCCTCGCTCTCTCTGAGAGATGCACGAAACCAAGACAACACTTCATATCTGTCACGGGGGAGCCTTAGCATCTCGCGACGCAAAACAGTCCATCACTGTAATGGGATTTTTTTGGTGGGGGGAGAAAGGGACGAATCAAAAACAAGTGGCTTGGTGGTCCTCCCTTTCTGTGAAGAAGCAGCCCCGGCGAGGGCTCGGGATCTGTCACGCACGACGTGTGATGTATCGCTGCGTCCTTGTTATGAGGTTGACTTCACGAAAGTGGGGGTTGGGGGGGACCGCTCGTTATCGCGACCGTCTTTGCTTTGATGGGGGTGTTGAGGGCAAAAGAAGCGCATGCTGGATGAGGATATTCATAAAAGAGGAAGTTTGGACGAGGCAACAGTACTCTCTGGAGACGTTCCGGAACAGCTTCGGCCTCCAATTCGAAACTTAATAGGTCGCGCACACACACAGTAGAGCGCCGTGTTTTACATACCGTGCAAGCTGAGGTCTGTGCGTGATTGATTTGCGCTTTTTTTTTCACGCCCAGTTGATTGCAGTGGTACCTTTACTTACGAAATTAGTTGGTTCTGGAAGAAATTTCTTTACGAGAAAATAGAGACGCGTTTTCCATGTAAATGCCGTAATCCGTTCCAAGCCCCCTCAAAAATTCAGACTAATGTTTTCGAAAGCATAAAAATGCATCCAGATATGGTACAAATACATGTTACAATTAGATAATTGCACAATAAATGAGGTGTGCACAATGTAAACAACAAAAAATAAAAATGATGGTCATTTAACTTTTAACTGCGTCCTCATCGTTTTTAGCCCACTTTAGTCCATGTTCTGTCTCGAAAGTGGTTTTTGCCTGGCGTTTTGTAAAGAACTAATCCAAGGACGTTTGCTTTTGTCGGCTTTTCACAATCCTTCGAAAATGTCCAAGGCAAACATCAGCATAGTGTGCGATCGCCCGACTGGTGAACACTTTTTCTGGGTGATCGGAACACCTCGTGGCCCGAGGGGCGAATGACGAGGACGCTGCATAGACACTCATCTAGCTATCTACACACACAGACACAAACGGCAGAGGTCCCCCTTAGCCAATGGGATGCCAGGAAGATGCTCGGTAATAGCCAATGACAGAGCAGCTATAAGTATGTTGCGTTCAGGAAACTCGGAGCCGCGTGCATTTTTGCCTTTCGTATCTTGAAATTTATTTCAGAACGAGAGGCAATATTTTCCTGTTGAGGCATTTCGGAAATTGAAAATTTCATATGAGAAATTTTCCAAAGTAGAGGTCCCACTTTATGAGTTTTAGTTGAGTGACAGTTTCAACACGTTAGCATAAGTTGCTAACGCTTCCACATAGCGGGCATTGCCCCAAGGCAACTGAAGCAACACGTCATGAAAGTTGATGATACTCACTCTGCTTGATCAGTCGCTTGTCGGCCACGAGAACGTTCTCGGCGTCGACAACGATGACCTTTCCGTCGCGGGGGCCGACCGCAAAGTTGTCGAAGCTGACGTCGAGCAGGTAGAGGGCGAACTCGAAGTCGTTGTTGGTCAGCTGCTCGGCAATGTCCATCAGCTGCCGCGCCAGGTCCACGCGCTTCTCCCAGGGGGCGTTGTAGTAGCTCCACAGCTCCTCGCCCACGTAGTTGACGGCCACCACCCGCCCGCACGCCCCGAGGTACTTGGCGAAAGGCCAGCCTTCGTCTGACGGAAAGCTCTGGAAAAACGACAAACATCAGAGACGACAGCTTGAGTTGAAACGCAGACCACAAAAGTTTCTCACCGACGGCAAGCACAAGTTTCATTTGCAAAATAAAACGGGTTTCCCTTGAACAAAGACACAGAGGGAATAATCCCCAGACATCAAACACCGAGTTGCCGTGCAGCCTTGGGTGACATTTGATAACGGCGGCCTAAGCAGAAGATTTGAAAATCTGCCAAAAGGAGTGCGTGAAACAGAGCCAGCGCAGGGCTACAGCGGATTAAATCTAATAGAGAACGAGCCGGCTCGCGTTGGAAGCCCTAAAGCGACGAGCCGATATCTGCTTCTGCCTGCGATTGCAGAAAAACGGATAGGTTGAGTTGCGGCAGCACAAGGTTTGCGTCGTCATTGTGCGTGCTGCATCTTGTTTGCCTCACTGCGTTCATGCGGCTTGGGCAGGCCAAGATGACGACCCCGTCTCATGTAGGGTGAGCCTGATGAATAATTGCACGGAAATACTCCCGCAAGGGTGAAGCCTCCCCCACAACTTCACTGCCATCGTTTCTGACTGACTGGAAAATGAACCAGCACGTATGCAGTGTGTGCAAAAGCACATAATCCAGTTCCAGCGACAAATTCGTCCCGATGAAAAAGTATCACAAAAATCAGAGGACTTCAAACTGCCCTGAAATGATGCCACTTTGCCCCTAAAATTTGGGACAGGGCAACGACTTCACCCGTATTTTCCGGATTATAGATCACTCCGGCGTATAAATCGCATCAGCCGTAAAATGTGTAATAAAGAAGCAAAAAAATATATCAGGCACTTTTTTGGGGGAAATGTATTTGATTAAATCCAACACCAAGAACAGATATGTCATCTTGAAAGGCAATTAAAAATAAAAATAAAATGAATCAGTATACGATATGCTAACGTTACATGACGCATAAACGGCGAATTGAGAAAGTGCCTGGTATGTTCATGTAACATATTATTCAGATAACTATAGCAGAAAGAACATGCTAACAAGTTTAGCAAACCATCAGTGTCACTCCAAAATCACTTAATCTGACGAAATCTTCATCCTCGCCGTCAATTTTGAGCCACCAATTCCGGAGGTAGAAGATGCGACGCTTCCTCTTCTACGTCGCTTACGTCAGACCCATCATCGATTTATCAACACAGGCCTAGAGCGCCCTCTTGCGTTTTAATGTGGAAATAACGTGAAATAATAATGTGTTAATAATTTCATGCATAAATCCCTCCGGAGTATAAATCGCACCCAAACTATGAAAAAAAAAATTGTACTCCGGAAAATACGGTACTCGTGCATATGTGACCAATAAATCTTCAGGGTTTTTTTTTTTCTTAATTCATCAATATTTTTTGTTGTTGTTTTTTCAACAATCAACAATTTGTTGTTCCACGCTTGCACCTACTTACTTTTCAGTAATATACTAAAAAAGCAGATGAATATTTGAATGAATATTTTAGTCCATTTATAATTTGTGCGCATCCCTGGGTACGGCAATGTAATTTCAGGGGTGTGCACGAAATGCAAACTACAAAATACAAGGGTGTAAATGTAATGTGTAAATGCAATGTAGGGATCCCCGAGCCCTGTTCTATGGTTCTCATAACAAAGAACGTGTTTATGCTAATTGATTTCCAAGGCAATGTTCCGAATCGCAGTTTTGTTGCAAATATTCTCCATTAGCCACTAACACATGCTGCGCCCAAAACACTGCCTTGTCATTAGAGCCCGATTATAATTTCAAAGCAGTTGAGGGTTTAAGCGAGGCTCTAGTTTTCATGGGAAAAAAAAAAAAAAAAAAAAAAAAACAAGACGCCACCAACATGTTGGTGTATCGCTTTCAGGAACAAACTTAAATTGCAATAAAGCGCCGCATTCTCCGGGTGTATCATGTCCCGGAAAGGAAGCTTAATAACCGGCGGCAACTTCCTATGTAACGAAGACCGCAAAAGGACGCTTGCTTGTTCCTGCCACACAGAGTGACAGTGGAGGAAGGGAGGGAGGGAAACTCGTGTTTCCGAGTGCCGAAACCCGATAGCGTTGGTGAAATGTCAGGGAACGCGCCGTGTCACTGCCGGCAAGGTGTGAACTACTCCTGACCGCCGTGTCACGCTGTCACCGGAGGTAACGCGACGCTCCGCCGGCTTTATCGCTGCCCGCAACGAGGCTTTTACATATGCATGGCAAGCTCGCATTAAACATTGACGACAGACAAATTATTTATGACGTATATGGTTATTCTCACCGATGGCTGCACACCCGACAGCCTGGAGAAGTTAATGCATGACCAAAAAAAATTAATAAAATAAAAACTAGGCTCCAGTTGGTTGGATTGAGGCTGATACAACACTTCACTCCAACTCTGAAGCCATCCATGAAGTTGAACATGCGCAACAGCCACATTTTGTTCCGTTTCGAAGCCATTCCAGAGGAACTCTGGTGTTGGGCCCCCGGGATCAAATTCCAGGGAACTAATTGGAAATTAACCCTTTCCTGCACCCTGGAACTGTAACCTGATGACAACGATAAGCCGTCCACTGTAGTGACCGCTGTCCCGGAAAGGGTTCAGGATACGTGCTTTCAATTTTTATTATGTTTCAAGTTATCCCCTTTTTCAAATGACCTCAACTCCAAAAGAATGGAATGCCATCGGAAACATGTTTTTGGAATGTGGGAGGAAGCCGGAGTACCCGGAGAAAAACCCACGCAGGCCCGGGGAGAACATGCAAACTCCACACAGGAAGGCCGGCGCTGGAATCAAACCCACTACCTCTACACTGTGAGGTCGACGCGCTAACTAACAACTGGACCACCGGGCCGTACGCGCAAAGTCCCCAAAGTTTTGTGCTTCAAATTCGAATCGAACGAGCGACCTTGTTGCAGCGAGGTAGCGGCGCTAACCGCTCTTCCAGCATTGACCGGACTGAAATCCGCTAAGTAAACTCATGTTATACTTCTGACACACACACACACACACACACACACACACACACACAATATTTGTTGGCTTCAGTGGTGTAAACGGAGCCCATCCGCCGGTATTTTGTTCCGATTAGCACGACCAAAATAGATCCAAAATCACAAGGGGGGAGGACAGGGACAAGTTGCAAGCTGTGCAGCCTCGGCTGAATCGTTTCCCAGAGGAAAGCCAATCAATTGTGGGCACAGGCTAAAATTGTGTCCAGGAAGCACAATGGGCCTCAAGCAGCCTGTCAACTCGGCTTGGCCCTGTCGTCCTCTCTGTCTTTGGCAAGGACTCATTCCAAATTCTACCCTTACTTTTGGGGTAATAGCCGCCCCCCCCCTCAACAACTTTCTGCATTCGGGAAATTGACAGCCAAGTGTAACGGGACGAAGCTTAAACGTGCACTGTTTTTGTTCCAGCTTGGTAAAAGAAAAAAAACGGACTATTTTTCGTGATCCCAGAGGAATTTCAAATCGGGAGAGCAAAAGAGGGTGAAATATCTAACATGGCTTTCGAAACGGACAAAGTGGGTATGGAATGACGATTAAATCGAAGCTGGATGATTTGGCTTGTACAGCCCTATAAGACCCGCCTCGTTTGACCCAAATCCAAACCTTGGATCGATGCAACTCTAAGCAGCTCTTGGCCATGTCAAAACTTAGCCTGTCCAAAGTGATGGCTAAACCGGCTTTGGTGGTGGTGGGGTGGGGGGGGGGGCATCCTCCCAACCCCTGGAGCCAGGTTGGAGAGATGAGACGAGAACGGAGGAAGCGCGTAAACCAGCACAGACCTGCTTGCTAAATGCTATCTCCCCTCTTTTGTTGTCAGGTTGCAGCCTGAACGGGTGCAAGAGTAGAGCGCCGGAAGCTTGGGGGGGAGGGGGTATGGTGGTCGGGGTAGGAAAAGGATGATTACCCCGAGGCTGCTTTCAGACTTACTGTCAGTGTCTGTTATGAGAAGGCCTTGATGTCTTTCGCCGCTCGCATCGCCTATTCTGAACCTCGACGGCGCTCATTCAACACGCCGGCGGCTCCCGGGTGTTGCTGCGTCAATTACCGGGGTCTTCACGACTCCTATGTGGGTGGTGTTTTCAATGAGCCTGTTAGATTGAATTCTGAAAAAGCTAATCGGGCTGAAGACGAGGCCGACTGACTACCAAGGGGGGTAAAAGACTCGACTTGCTATTGTGCGTGTCCCCACCAATCATTTCACCCCGGTGCTCTTTCAATGGTTATTCTGCAAGAAGCCGTTCCCCGTCTGCAATGAAGCGTGGCGGGGAGTGGGGGGGGCCAAAAATGAGTTGAAGACACTACTGCAGAATCGGGAAGTTTTCGGTGGGAGCGCACAGGTGGTCAATGACAGCATTTGCCTCTGCTGGTGACGCAACGCAACTTGCTAAAAGTGCAAATACTGGCGACGACGGATCCCGTCGACTCATAACGGCTTTTGTAATGCCAAATTCTGCTCCTGCCAGCGGATGACAACCTGCTACAGCTGGGCATCCGCGGAATGATTCTGAAGCTGTGGTTTTTCAAATGGCGGGTCGCACCGCATGGGCGATGCAAAGACATCTTGGGAAGGTCAGGCAAAAAACAAGGGGTATCAAAAAAAAAACCAAAAAAAACAAAAACGTTTTTTTTCTTTTTGTGTGTAAGCGTGACTAAAAATCAAAAGGGAGAGAGGGAAACATGCGCCGTACATGTAAGAAAACCTTCCCGAACAGGCTCAATGCTGGGAAAATCGAGTCAAAGGGTGAGATCTGTTGTCATAAATCTGTTGCAGCTGTTGTCATCAACTCATTTGATTGGCATATGATGGCAGTTGCTAATCGTTTGTCAGACGTTTGACAAGGACGTGTGTGTGGGGGGGGGGGAATAAATACAGTGAAACTCCTCGACAACGAAATCATGTTTGCAGCAAGAAATTTTCACAACAGGGGACTTTTCACTGTAGCAAATTTGATCAAAATGAGCTCAGATATATACACACACACACACACACACACACACACACAC